ACAAAGAAATATTGCATCCCACATGGGGGACGACGACAGTAACAACCTATTTTACCCCACAGGCTGCAATCGTGCAAGGGGGAAAAGGCGGGGACTATTGTTTTTTAAAAAAGGATAAAATATTTTAACTCTGATCTCTAATACTGCCGGTCTGTTGCTTTTCTGCTGATAGTTTCTCATGTCAGTTAACATTCCTTTATTTTGGTTGTTCATGTCTTGTTTTTTCTCTGCAGCCAACCTAAATGTATTTTTTTTTTCTAAAGCGTGACAAGGTATTCTGCAAACATCTCCAAACAATCTCAATCTTCTCCTTGTAATAGCGTTTATCAGTTGTAAATTGTTAACCTTTCTCTGCAGTTTTCCATATGTGATCTTGTTTATCCAAAATATTTGGTCGATTCTCCGTAGCTGTTTTTTTTTTTGGGGGGGGGGGGGGGGGGGGGGGGGGGTGGGGGGGTGGGTGCATCGTGTCATAGTGATTTAATTGGTGTAACTTCTCTTACAACGCAAGCAACAACAACAACAACGAAGATCACACATGAAGAGGTCCCAGAAATCCCTTTTAGCCGTTAAGCCATATTTATAGCCCGGTGGTATATAGGGCCCCGGCAAGAACCAGGGTGGGGCTTCAAAATACGAAAACATTGCATCCCACATGGATAGGATTAGATAGATATCACATAGAAGAAAGCTACAAGATAGAAGTAAAATCTGAGTTTCTTCTCGCATAAGGAAGTAACAGTAAGTCTATTGTCTAAATGTTCTTTAACAAGAAGAGAGAACTCGTGATAAACCCCTATTAAAAATTGCCTACTTTTCAGCCCATCCTCGAATTTGTGTTTTAAATTAAATTGTTACTTCCCTTTGTCTAAAATCAGGGATGGGCCGAAATGTTGCCATTTTTTCATACTGTCGACCATCAGTTACTTCCCCTAGTTCACAGACGTGTATATGATACATTACTTTCTGTAGACACTGCGATACCACATTTTGTACCTCATCAGATGTCTAACCACTCATTTTGAAGCTTATTTGAGTTGAGTTATGTTAAGAACTGACATCATAGCACTCGGGAGAATCACATAAGCGCTCCGCTCTCATCTTCAGCAGTCTGCGAAGGTTTCCAATTCCATTAGGACAAGCAGTAGTCTGATTGTATGAACTCCTAGCCTTTCCTCTGAGTGTAGACCAGATCTCCTGGTCACTCCCACCTGCACCATTCTCTCCAGACCATATTGATGTATTCGTTCTATACTTGTATTCCCAATATCGTGTTTTTATATATATTGAATTCTGTCTTCAAATTTGACTGAATGACTTTTATCCCACCAAGAGATCACGTCACTAAGCGATAAACACCTGGTGACACAAAGTGCCACCTTGAGGAGGAGGATCACCCGTGAGAGGTTCCAAAAACTCCGTTCAACCCTTAGGTTATATTAGGGCCCCCCGCAACAACCGGCTTAAAAATATCGAAAAATTTCGTCCCCAGTGGGCACTGGGATCGATTCACAATTGCAAGTTTAGTTTTCTTGACTCCCATATACAGTTGAGCGTGATCAATAGATTTTTAGCTTTTTTCTTCTCCCCTTTATGTTAAATCCTTTTCAGAATCTCAGTCCGTTTTTGAAGAATACAAATTCTTCAATCTGTGTTACTGCTTTATTAGATTTCGAGTGTGCTTTTTTTTGTTGTTTTTTTTTTTTTTGCGTTACTTTATTTTTATATATACTTTTGTTTTTATTTTTTAATCTGGAGACTATCTTAAGGATTATTGTTGAAAGTCTTCCCTCTTTAATTACTGCTCACATACTTGTTCTAAGCCCATGTTGTCTGCATAGCAAAAAATTAAATAAGAGGTAATAAGATAATCACACCAACTATAAAATATTTGTTTTCAGTTGTTTTCCTCTAGGATTGCTGTCTGTAGGATTGCTGTCTGTAGGATTGCTGTCTGTAGGATTGCTGTCTGTAGGATTGCTGTCTGTAGGATTCATATCTCAAAGATAAGAATCAAACCCGGAAGCCCTGTGCAACCGCATTGCCATATAGCACGGTTATATTAGGGCGCAAGAGGTAAACTGTTGTCCTGTGTGGGTGGGTTGGTGTTAACTAGAAAAGAATTGAAGTTCAACACCAACAGGACACCCCACCAAGCGATAAACACCCGGTGACACAAAGTGCCACCATTCGGGTGAGGATCACCCGGGATAGGTCTTAGAAACCTCGTTCAACCCATATACATAACTTAACATAACCATTGAACCGTTAGGGTCGTGGAGGTGTATTAATGGAAGCATCTGCACATAAAACGAGCTATTTTTGTATGCCTTCTGCTTGATGAATAAGTGTACGATAACTTAGTCCTGTCCATTTCTTGATGTTGTCATTCCAGATTCTTTTTTGCTTTCCTCTTCTTCGACTACCCCTTACCCCCCCCCCCCCCCCCCCCCCCCCCCCCCCCCCACCCCCAGTGGCCCTTAAAGCACAGTCTTTGTAATCGTATCATGTCTCACCACGTGCCCAAACTAAGCTAGCTCGCCACGTTTCATCACTGCCAAGAGAGGCTCCTGATGTCCTGCAAATGTGTATATTTTATCTCTGACATATTTATTACTAAATCAAAAGCATTTATATTCGCAAGCATGAATCCAGATCTACATTTCCACAGTAAGAGTCCAACTCTCACATCCGTATTAGGAAAAAGACAATACCAGTTCAACCCATAGTTTGGGTTAGATTAGGGCCCCTAATAACAACCAGTTAAAACAACAACAAAATTGCATCCGTCATTAGAACGCAGTTACTCGAGTATTTTATTAGAAAAAGTCAACGAGACAAGTACGAAGATAACGATTCGAGTATAAAAAAGACACCATGATATCAACGAAGAAAAGTCTGTTTAAAATTAGAACTCTAGACAGAAACTATTCAAGATACTATCAGATATCTGTCATTGTGAAAATGGCTTTCAATCAATTGATTGAACAAATGAGGTTAATTACTTCCCGTCCTTTTTAGGATGACATTTTTCGTTATTTGAAACCCTATTCTTGCTCTTGCCAGGGGCCGCAATATAGCCTGGCTATAAATATGGCCTACAGGCTGAACGCGGTTTCTGTGATCTATCCACGGTGATCCTCACCCACATGGTGGCACATTGTGTCATCGGGTGTTTATGGCTTGTGTGATGTCCTAGTGGGGTAGAAAGTCAGTCAGTCAATCAAGTGAGGTAAATGTTTTTTTTCAAGGGATTTAACTGTCAAAATTTACTAAAGTGTAATGTATTTATTGGTTATATCCCTTTGCCTACAAAAGCAAAACCGCACATCCAATAGATACCATAGAAAATGGCAAGTCTTCAAGCAAACTTGTTCTGCTGTGGCTAGAAAGTAGCCTTACCTGCTGACGTCGTGGTCATGTATTCGAATCCCAATCGAGGTAAAGAGTTCCTTCTTTTAAACAAATTTCTCTATCACTGTGCTATAGAAACTCCTACAACATTGTTTAAGCTCTTTGGTTTGTTTCACTGTACTTTCTGTCACCTTTTCCTCCTAAAATTCAACTATTGTTTCTGTAATGTAAAGTGTCTCTTCTTTTACAACTTAAACAACAACAAAATACACACTAATCAAAACTGATATACTTATACTTATATCAAGGGCAGGGAGGCATCTCATACAATATGCTCATCAACTTCATGTTGGACATGCTCTTAGAAACACAATTACTCAAGCGAAAGAACAGTGTCGTGAAGATGCCGTACTTGGTCCTGGAAACCTCAACATGTTTTGATTCCAGATCACCATTGCCTACTGTTGTCTTCACCATGTATACAGCATGAATCACCGGCTCACAGATAATAGGTTCCGGCAGAATAATTTCACATGCAGAAGAATCTTTATGTATTGACGAGGAAGAAACAGCCATGAAATGACAACAGCGCTGCAATATGAACTAGACAGACTCGTTGGTTGGTGCTAGGTATTAAGAGCCCTAGTGAACCTGAAGAAGACCTTTTTACTTAGTTCTTACTGAACACCCATATTTTCAGTGCGCATACGCCAGGTGTAATCATGTGCGGTATAGACATCGAAAGAATGGTCACGATGAACTATCTTGGAAGGACATTGAACGGTTGCATGTCATACAAATATCACATAGGCAACGTTACACTCGGAGCCAGGCAGCGTCTCTCCGGAGCATTTGGGGTAAAGGTAGCAACCGATACTGATAAACGCTTTTTCTTCCTTCTTTATCGGGACCTTTTATTAAGTGCCAAACACTATCGTCTGGAGCTCCTTACTGTCAGCAGAACCCAGCTAGATAGACTAAAGGTTATGAGACTCATAGTCGGCTACAGAAAGACACATCGTGTCATGCCGTGAGGTCTGTCCTGGGTTTACCGACGATGGCCACCAGACATAAAATCGCACAGGTCAAGGCCTACATTGGGTGTTAAGAGATATCTTCCACCCTCTGCACAATTCTACAGAGGCTTTAAAAAGAATGGTTACTGAACAGAGATCGCTCCTTGATGGCTAGGTCTGTGACCAAGACAAGCATATAGATCGGTATTAAAGTCAAGTAGACGTCATAATCTACACAGATGGGTGCCTAAAGTCAGCATGAGTATGCACAGCACGACAGATGAGGAAAAGAACAAAAGAGAATATGGAGGGCACCAAGCAACTATGTCAAGCAAGGCTATGGGGTTAACAGCTGCTTCAATAATACTTGCGGGGGCAACAGAACATGCAGCCAAACAAGTGGTGCTGACTGATATGCGTGCAGCGAGAAGTACCCTTTATCAGACAACGGAAAGATTGAAAGCTATAACAACTCAGGTTACAGTGTCTTTTTCTTTTTATGTTCCTCCTCCTCCTCCTACCTTTTCTCTCTCGTCTCTTAGTCTTTCTGCTTCTGAAAGACGTAACATTTTGTTCCGTGAATGACAGTTTAGGTTTTACATGATCTTTGTTATTAAAATACTGAACAAGATGGCCGGGGACTCAACGGTATCTGATTCTTAGAGTCGTTCGCTGTCCTTTGTCTCTCTGCGTGCGGGCTGTTTATTACTTGTCATGGCTGCTATCAGTACCTACCAAGTTATTTAGATTTATTTTATATTTCTTACAATGGGAGATGTAGTTTATTGTCAATCAGCTGTACATAACTGCAGCTGGTAAAATAGGGTAACAACAATTGTGAATTGTTATTGAAACTTATTGTACTCAATTGTTAACAACGGCTCTTATTTCAATGTCTAACTAAGTACTTAACTTAACCGTAGAGCAAGCTAGACAGCTTAGAGACCCAGCCTAAAGACTGCTTTAGTCAAGTTTTAAATATGATGTTAAACTCATAAAACCAATACAGCTGGATACATATTAAAAAGCTCTTTCCAGCGGTACCACATTGACATTCATCATCATGCCTGTAGTGTATACGTATGGTATGTCAGTTCTAAGCTGGACTATCAAAGTTTTTGCGAGGATGGGAAAAAAAAAAAGGGGGGGGGGAGGTGTGGTCTGGATAAAGAAGGAAAACTTAAAGCAAGTAAAACTTGCTGCTAAAAAAGTAGAAGTCGTTGGTGCGTATTTCCATTTGTTTGACCTTAACTTATTAATTTTTTTTTTTAAAGAGTTAAACGTTAACCAGCTAAGAGACCCAGTCTGTAGTAGTACTACTACTAGTTGTAATAGTATTAGTAGTAGTAAAGATGGGAGTTGAACACTAGCCTTCCAGGAGTCCAGGTAATTGCAATTCCAACATCATAGCAAATGGTCACCCCACAGTTGCACTGTTCCTCCTGTGCCGACAGAAACCATACAGAATGCCTTATCTCTGTCCTCTTTGAAAACATTGGCTCTCCTTTGAATCAACCCCCAAAATGGCGGCTTTAATATGATGGCGTTCAAAAGAGAGCTAAATTGGCCAATTTCTTGCCATAAAATATCAGAATGCGGGTCAGTTCTATTAAAAATATATGTGCCGGCTCCAGATAACGAAACAAATGCTCTGACAGGGTCTCGGCGATACGTTACTTGCCGACCTGCTTCTGCGAGTGTGCCTCACCGCCAAGCGTATCCTCCGCGCGGATGGGGACTAAACTAGATGCCTGGGACTCACGAGTACAGTAATTGGAGGAAGTTGCAGGAGATGCGGTAGCTGCCACTCGTGAGTCCCAGCCATCTAGTTTAGTCCCCATCCGTGCCGCGCATAGCGCGGGGGATACGCTCGGCGGTGTGGCACACTCGCAGAAGCAGGTCGGCAAGTAACGTATCGCCGAGACCCTGTCAGAGCATTTGCATAGTCTGCTAGTATTGTCTGCAGAAACGCTCAAAATTATCGTCTGCTCCTATCATCTGCTGCTACTATCGTCTGCAGAAACTGTCGGTATTTATCGTCTGCTACTACTACCGTGTGCAATGTTCAAATTGTCAAGTAATCCTAGTTTTGCCGCGATTTGTTCCTTGGCAGAAAGTCCGTATTTTAGATATACGCGAACACCGTCATTTTGATATTTTATGGCCAGAATGTGGCATGCCGCCATTTTGGGGGTTGATTCAAAGGAGAGCCAAAACATTGATACAGACCCAGTCTCTAGTAGGAGTAGAGAATTGAATGTTATCCAGCCTAAGAACCAACTGACTAATCTGTGGTTTGTGTATTGGCCTGACATTTTGAACACTCTTCTCCAGTTACCCGGCAGTCTAGACCTGATTCTGGTTTCATGATCTTAGTGATTCAAAATTTATTCAAAATTTGAGTCTCAGTTTCTACCAGCCGACGTTACATAGTGGTACACAGTACTGGCATCAGTTGTTTCCAGCACTGCTGTAATATACATATGTACTTTATACATTTTGTGGTGAGTACCAACACTGTATGGACACATTTACTGTGCTAGTATTTCTTGTCCTCTTCTGTGTATAATTAATGTTCTATGAATTTCTGGTCCTCGTGGAATACAGTGAATGTCCTGTTATGTCTGATCCTCTTGGAGTGTTTAATGTCCTGTGTATTTCCTGTCCCTACAGACGGGCAGCAATGATAGTACAAGTTCTATTGAAAGCAGAAAGGCCAGCAGGGAGAAACTGGAGCGCTGGTTGAACAAGAGCATGAGAATCAAGATGACTGATGGAAGGACACTTGTTGGTAATTATCACCAGAAACTGTAACCAGTTGTTTGTTTATCATGTGTTCATTCTTCTATTTCTTCTTTGGTTTCTTCTTCTTCTTCATTGGGAAAGGAAGGAGGAGGGGTGTATCAATGTTTTCTCAAGCCTGTCACCTGTAAATGATGACAGCACCTCGCTGCAAGAACAAGTGTACTCAGATGCATGATCACCTTGTTTGAGGTGACAGGTTTGATTCTCTGTATGGCAAATATAGCTTTTGATCTGTATGTTGTACAGCTTTTGATCTGTATGTTTTACAACTTTTGATCTGTATGCTAAATATTAGTAAATAAACAGATTGTATGTTTAAAGAAATTAGTGAAATTAAATAATAATTGTTCCATTACCACAAGAAAAACTCGATAAAATATATCCAAAATGAATCATAAATTAACATAAACCACTTAGCATGTTATAAAAAAAAATATATAAACACAATCTCTCCATTAGATCTCATTCCAGATAAACTTTTAGAACATCATAACAGCACTATTTTTTAATGAAGGCAAATAACTTCTAAAAACAATTAGTATTATTGCCTCAAAAAAAACTAACTCTATATAACACTCAGTTTGTCCATAATTTTATAGCCTATGTTTCCCCCCCAAAAAAAGGAATCGCACTAGAACTAACTAAAAATGATGAATATTGTCTTTTTCACTAATGCTTATTATCTTTGCACCAGCTGACTTTGTTATCGTTGTACACTTTGCATTAGGTATATATCAGCTATCCCTTATCAAAGTTTGACTCTATCAATGAGTGTAACAAGTCTACTTAGTAACTTTCTTTGTCTAGCTTCGGATAAATTTAATAAACGCATGCTTTAGTTAAATATGAGGTTTCTAAAGCCATAAATCTTTTTTGGCATGCATGAAGAAGTCTGCTCGGAGGCCATATTGTTTTCACATAGACAGTAACTCAGTGAAGCTCACAAACATGGTCAATTTTATGCTTTTAACCACTTTTCTGAAATAAATCTAATGGTAAACACGTGTGGAATCCAACACAAAGAACAGGAAATACCATTCAAAACTGCTGGTTTGCATTGTTCTACTGGCCAGTGTAAATTAAAAGCTAGTACACGTCAATTGGCCGCCTGGGTGAAACCGATTAGTGCGTTATGTGTTCCTTGGGACTCAAGAGTTAATTAAGGTTTTTTCTTTCAGGAACTTTTGTGTGCACAGACTGTGACTGCAATATTATCATGGGATCTTGTGAAGAATACTTGAAGCCACCAGGTTAGTTTTGGTTTGGTTTGTAAAAGATCACTATATTTGCAAACAGATGCACTATAAGGGCTTCAGTCGCATGACATGGATCACTCACCAGTCCTGCATCTATGCAGATATTGCAGCCAAGCTGTAAACAACAAAATGTGTCAGCAGTCTAAAGGGCAAACAGAGAAGATGTAAACACTGCACAAATGATGTAAACTGGCCTAGATCCCAGGGGGTGTATACTGACTAGAAACAAGAGAGGCAGTAGATATTGTTGTCATGCTGGTCTTCTAAGTTTTCTCATTGAAAACCTCTTCTTCTTCTTTGTGTTCACTGGCTGTAAACTCCGGCTGAAAGTTCTGGTTGTTTGTTCACTTCTGGACTTTGGTCTTGTCCCAGAACTTTTAAAAATTTGGCTTGTTTGTATGCAGACAGTTGGTTCCTCCCCTCTCAGTCAGATGCTCTCCCTTCAAAGGAATCAGCCCTAATTAATTGACTTTTTTTACCCTCCTGTTAGGGGGTCATGGGTCTATTCTTTAACCCCACCCCCACCCAAACCCCAACCTCTTAACAGTGCAGTCTCAGGACCCTCATTTCGGCTACATTAAAAGATAGCACTCTTATTTTTAAAAAAACATACTGGAAAGCAGTGTTCAAGGCAGTTAGGCAAGAGGTAGATAATGGGAGGATAAAATCAAAAGATGGATGAACAGCAGTCTGAGAGAGAGAGAAAGAGAGAGAGAGAGAGAGAGTACAATCAGGACAAATGAGTGGTGGAGATCCATTCTATTACAGCTAGCTTTCATTGTGGAGATGACACCTGTTTGATTGATTTCTTAAAGTTTGTGCACTATTTGGTCAACAGCCATCTATCTCACACACTGCCAAAAATGTCTGATACACATATTCTTCCATATCCTGATGCCAGACTATCTGATGCCCTCTCCTTTTGTCTCCTTCTGCCTCTCTTCTCTTTCAACTTTTCTGTGGTCATGAACTATTTAAAATTTTTATCACTTGATCTATTTGTTAGGGCACTAAATGAGAAAACAACTACCTGTGAAATGTGCTGTCTCCATAAGATCACTAACAATACAAGAAGGGTTGTGAATGCTAGCATTAGAGAGAAAGTCTTATTCCAAGACTGTTTGAATTATATTGTCAGGCAAAGAATGAAATCGTTCAGCCATCAAACTGCAAACAAGACTTTTTACAGAAGAACATCAGGAAAGACCAAGAAAGAGGTGGATAAATGGTGTAGCTGAAACCTGCAAAAAAGATGACAACTCTGTCAGCCAAGAAACAAAAGACAGATATAGAAAACTACACACTGGGCTGCAAGCTGGTATTAGTGAGATGACAAAAGAAGATCAATTTTGTTTCATTTTCATCTTCTTCTTTTCCTCTGGTTACCTCAACACTTTGTTGGTGGGGATGTGAGGATCTTGGGTGTATTTTTTCCCTAATCTCTTGTATAAGCTTGTCGACATTTCTCTCAGGTTGCTCTTGATTTTTGTGTGGGTTTTTTTCTTAAGCTTGTCTTTCTGTAGTAGCTGTTATGAGGTTATTCTTATCATATAGCCAAACCATTTAATGGTTAAGGAATGACTGGTTGCAGTCCTAGTCTTCATCTGATTTCATTGTTTTAAATTTTATCTCTCCTGGCTACCAAGATGAAATATCCTGTGATTTCAGATTCAGAGCCAAGAGAGGACCCACGTATCCTGGGGTTAGCAATGGTACCTGGCAAACATATTGTGTCCATAGAAATTGATGACACATCCACAGCAGAGGAAGGTGAGATTTTCAGTCTGTGTGACTCTCTCCTGTCTCTTCCCCATCACTTATTTCTATCTGTCCCTCACCCATCACAATCTCTTCCTCACTAATCTGTCTGTCTCCCTCTCTCTATCTCCCTCCTTGAGTGTCTGTTGTGAAATTTTGTGGGGAGGGGGTGGGGGGGGGGGGGTATGGTAACATATGCAAATTTAACCTTCAGCATTTGGCTTGCCTACAGAACTCCATTCTCTTATAAAGTCACTTTCCAAAGCTAAATTCCAGTGTACCATTTTATTTCAGAAGAATGTGACGGCACTGCTAAAAACGAGAGCAGGAACAGCGTTGTGCATACACCTGTTAGTGAACAGAGCACCAGTCTGGAGAGTGGAGCTGATGTTGTATGATGCTACTATGAGTGTACTACTGTATTTTAGATGGGCGGTAATGTTTTTTTGGCATGTGTTGTGCAAAGTGCATTGAAACTGATGTTGTATGGGATGTGTTGAGGAAAGCATACAGAAGCTGATATTGTATGGGATGTGTTGTGGAGAGCAATACCAGCAGTGGCTCTCAACATTTCTAATGCTGCGACCCTTTAATACAGTTGCCTTATGTTTTGGCGACCCACAAACAAATATTTTTCTTCATAACTTCAATGAATATATATTTTCCTATGGTTTTTAGGCGACCCATGTGAAAGAATCATTCGACCCCAAAAAAATGTGTCGCAACTTATTGTGGAGAGCATATAGAGGCTGATGTTGTAATGGGATGTATTGTGGAGAGCATACAGAGGCTGATGTTGTAATGGGATGTATTGTGGAGAGCATATAGAGGCTGATGTTGTAATGGGATGTATTGTGGAGAGCATATAGAGGCTGATGTTGTAATGGGATGTATTGTGGAGAGCATATAGAGGCTGATGTTGTAATGGGATGTATTGTGGAGAGCATATAGAGGCTGATGTTGTAATGGGATGTATTGTGGAGAGCATATAGAGGCTGATGTTGTAATGGGATGTATTGTGGAGAGCATATATAGGCTGATGTTGTAATGGGATGTATTGTGGAGAGCATATAGAGGCTGTGAAATTTAATTTAGCATGCATGGGATGTTGCAGCAAATGTATTTCACAGAGGGAAGATGTATATGATATATTGTGTCGAGGGGTTGATAATGTATGATGTTGCTACAATTTTTATTAAAATGTTTTTTTGTATGGCTGTAATGTGTGATGATTTTTGATGAATGATGAAAAGAATAGAGTGTGTGTCACATGATGACGCTGAACATACGTTGTATGTGCGTCGAAAATAAAAATGTCTGGTAAAGAGCAGAACAGATGTCGGACATATCACAGATTAGATGTCTGAGGTGTGCTGTGTTTAGTTTGTTTATCTGTTCTACAGTGAACAACTATTGATTGTATACAAGTACATGTGAAGTGGGGAGGGGGGGGATGAAATCACTGGTGTGGCTTCAAGGTTTCAACCTTTTAACCCCTGTCACCTAGAAAAAGGGATTTTCATGAACAAGTTACTATAACCATGCTGATTAGGCAGTATTTACGGGAGCATGGCACATACCAGAAGTGTCAGTTCTGTTGCTTCCTGAGTCAAAATGGCTAAGTTGTGTGTTGTCTGACAACATGATTGTCACATCTGTGATGGCAGTTCAGTAATATCACAGATGTTGCTGTGTTTTGTTACGTTTTGTAACAATGCAGCTGTGAATTTGAAGTTCATGTGTCGTGACTGTATGGGCGTTTTCACTTCTGCTATTATGAAATGAAAAAAAAGTATCCATATTTTTATCATCATCATTTGCTATTTTCAGATCACATTCTCGACCGTAAACCGGTTATAATAAAATTGTTTTCCGTGACTTTTGTTTGTTCTGTTGTAATTATCATCCCTGACTGCGATAGTTAGATGATAATTAAATTAATAAGTTATAAATAATGACCTTCATAAGGGCTTTAAAATCTTTTTTTTTCACATTTGCTGGCAGTAAACTCTAGCGGAAAGTTCTGGTTGTTCATCTGCTTCTGACTTTGGTCTTGTCCCACAACTTGCATTTTGCGGGAAATTCATTTCATAAATCTGGCTTATTTATATGCAGACTGTTGGTTTTCCTTGCCTGTCAGGCAGATGCACTCTGACCTGAAGGAAATACCCCTATTCAGTCATCTTTTACGCCTGGCTCTCTAGCATAGTTGGTTAAACCTGACATCACGGTGACCAGGTGACGAACTCCTTGTGGTCCGGGTTCACTCCCGGGGGTAGGCAAAAAAGCCACATTTCTCCCAGATTTACGGTACCTATCATGGAATCAAGGCCGAAGGATTGCGATATCCATAGTACCGAGCCAAAGGGTTAACAACTCATGGTTTCTGGATATTTAAAAAAAAAAAAAAACAGTCATCTTTTATCATGTTTGTTAGGGGCAGTCGGCTCTGTGGCTAAGTCGATGTGAACGCTTCGTAGTGCCAGAGTGCAGGGTTCGATCCCAGCTGCGGGCCATGCACCTAGCGTTGGTTTCGACAGTGGTATCAGGGGGCCGACCATCCAGAAAGCAATGGCAAACTACTGGACGTAAAAATGCCTAGAGAAACCACATAACAGCCTGGGGCTGCTGGGGCTGGTTCTGCAATGTCCTATTAAGAATACGCAACTAACCCTTTTTTTTTTTTGTTAGGGGCATCGAGTCTGTTCTCTCCCCCCCCCCCCCCCCCCCCCACACCCAATGGCGCCCTAGAACTTACATTGTTAGTATCATATATGTATGGCATTACATAAGACATAAGTCTGATTAGACATAAGAAATCAAAGTTGATAAACAATGCAACACAACATGGACTACAAGAAAACATGGTGCATGTCTGTGTATGAAGAATGATTTTAAAAATCTAAATTCAAACAATATTTTACAAAATATTGCTAAAACATAAAAATTTAAACATACAGAACACTGAAAAATCATCAAACATCATGTTATAAGAGCAGGGCTTTTTTTTCCTCCAGTGAAATGCAGATGACACAGTCCTCCTTTCGAACAGCGTAAAAGGAATAGAAAATTAAATATTGTTTGTCCAAAAGCACAGTGAATATCAAAATCTGTTCTTGAATTTGAAGAAAACAAAAATAATGTCCACAGATAAAACTAGCTGTCACCCAAAAATAACAATAAATGATGAAGAAATTAAAATTTCACAAACTTTGAATATCTAGGCTCTACTATAATAAACATCAATGGAAACTGTTCGACAGAAATTAAAAGGAGGATGGCCATAGCAATGCAAAGATTGAACAGCCTTAAAAGTCTATGGTTAAGCACCAGCAAGGAGATAAAAATTAGAATTTTGAGAGCATGCATCTTGCCTGTGGCTACATACGGATATGAGCCGTGGACTGTCTCTCAGTCCTTAGGAAAGAGAATAGGGGCTTTTGAGCTGAAATGCTATAGAAAGATTCTCAGAATATCTTGGACAAAGAAGATAAGAAATATTGACATCTTAAAAGATCTGAACATCAAGGAAGATTGGCTAATAAACAGCATCCTTTCTCGAAAGCTGAAATATTTTGGTCATATCAAGCGCCACGACGGATAGGAACAAATTATAGCAGAAGGCATGATACCAGGAAGGAGGGACAGGGGCCGACCGAAACGAAGATGGGCACAGGATATAAGTGACTCCTTGAGTGTGAAAGTGCATGAGGCGGGAGAACTGGTGAGAGACCGAGTTTCTCTCAGGCAGACTGATGAGAGCGACGTTCTGCAAAGGATCTGCTACATGATGATGGTGAAACACAGTACCAGAACCTTTTTCTAAGGCATTTCATTTTAGCGCTACTGTTAACGGACACTTTGTAGTGAGCACTGGCACCTTTTTTTTTTTAAAGAGTCTGCGTGGTCTCGAGGTATGGTGTCCGCCTCGAGTGCTAGAGGTCCCAGGCTCAGGTCCAGTGTATTTTTTTTTCACGTGGGCTTATAGTAATTTTCCCTTGTCTCTGGGTAGTAAGACCGGACACCTTTGTGTATTGTTGCACAAATAGAAAATCCCTTGGCAGTTGGAAATCGAAAAGAGTAGCCTAACGGCGCTGCCAGGGCAAAATTTGGAGTTAAAAATCTACCCAATATTTCAGGATCCTCGCTGGTGCTACAGAGCCTGTGCACTGCGCTGAGTTACTTTGGTCTAAGACTTGAGTTAGAAGTAGAACGGAGCACTTATGGGTTACTACCCTTGTGCCATGATGTTGATCCCTTGTTCAAACCTTTTTTTTTTCTAAGAAAAAAAACCTGTATAAAGAAAAATATTAATAAAATATCAAAAGTAAAAGAATACAGATTATCTAATAAAAGCATAATTTTATATGACATCTTGATAAAAGCCATATTTTTTATAAGACATCCTAATAAAAGCATTATTTTATAAGACATCTTGACAAAAGCAATATTTTGTATAAGACATCTCAATAAAAGTAAAATTTTTAAGACATCTTGAAAAAAGCAATATTTTTCATAAGACATCTTAATAAAATCATAATTTTAAAAGACATATTGAAACAACAAGTTAAAGATACAAATTATTATCTTTTTTTTTTTACACAAAAACAAGATGAAAGCTCTAAATACAATTATCATATCATTGAAAAATGAAGATAAAAAGATCTCACAAGAAAGATGGAGATAAAAGATCTACAGTGAAATACCTCACATGAAAGATAAAGTTAAAAAATCTACATGTAAACATCTTACATTTAAATATTTCACAAGAAAGATAGATATAAAAGATCTACATTTAAATATCTCACATAAAAGATGGAGATAATACATCTAAATTTAAATATCTCACTTGAAAGCTGCAGATGAAATATCTATTTTTGTCAATATAATTTTTCATGAAAGATGGAGATTTTAAAAAATCTATGTACACTTTAATATCATTTTACAGTGAAGTTGTAAAGAAAAAAGTAAGGGGCTCTTCTCACAGCTTTTCTAAATCAGGATACTGTTTATCCAAGGACACTTCTTAGTACCTATGTTTGCCTAGGTATGACCTAGGAGCTAACAGTAAGTTATAATAATGTGCCTTGATTCAATTCTACATCCAAGACCTTGGAACCAGCATGCAAGTGCCTAGTCACAACTCTGCTGCATCTCTAGTGTTACAAGAAGAATTTGAGCGGGAAAAGGGCACACTGAAAAACACCTTTTACACAACGCTTACACTGTTTTGGGAGTCGTCGTGGTGTAGCGGCTAGACGCTTGCGTGCAGATCGGAAGGTTGTGGGCTCGCTCCCAGCGGAGCCTGATTTTTTTTCAAAAATGACCTTGACTCCCAGGTCGACCTAGCCTTGAGTGAGTAACCGGGTGCAGTCCAGGATGTAAATACGGCCGGCGTGATGCTGACCACATCACCCATCTTGTGCTGATTGGTCTATAAAATATAGGTCTAGCCCTATATGACCTAAACGCCTAAAGACGTGGAAAAGGGCCTTTTTTTTTTTTTTTACTTTTTACACTGTTTCACACATCAATAGATTTATCTGAAAACATATGTAAAGTTACATTTGATTTTCTCGAAAGGAATCTTATATATGATATCTTATGCATCAGTTGTCATGAATGTCCACAGCCTCCTACATTACATCATCATCACCGTCCTATTGCGCGATTCATGTCATTTAAAGTTCACAGTCAGGTCCTCCATTTCCCTTCTATACTCTGCCATTCTTTTGATATTAGGACTCAATTCAGTGTGTCAGTATACCAGACCTAAACTAGTTTGCTCAACAACATCGCAAACTTCACAAAATGCAGGTTAATCAGAAGGAGAACATACTAAATTTGGACTCAGTGACAGCCCCAGTCTGTTCAAAAAACACAACAGACAACTAGACTAGCATACAGGCTGATCAGACGTACAAGATATGAACTCTGGACATACTGACTGCCATAATCAGTTCAACAAGAAAATAAACAACAGACCAGCATGCAAGACGATCAGACGTAGAAGATCCGAACTCTGGACACACTGACTGCTGTATCACCATCGTAAAACCTTGTTTCTATCAGGACATTGCCACTGAAATATATTAGACAGAAGAAACACATCAACTGTTTTACATCAAAAACAGCAGCAGCAAGTTTTCTTATAATCAGGTAACCGCATTTCCAGCTTCACAACAAACGGGTCACCCCATAGTTGCTACGTTCCTGTGCCAATAAAAGCCACACAGAATGTCTATCCCTGTCCCTTGTAAAACAAACTGAAACAGACTGCAGTCTCAGCAAAGCCAGTAGCATACACATGCATTAAATGCATAAGGCAGCCATCAGAAGTGCCAGCACAAACAGTACAGCACCAGAAATGTAGTCTGGAAACAGCAGTTGCAACAGATCTGTGGTTGCACACACAATCATCTTAGGCGCCACAAGTTCTCTGGCAACAGGCCACTCGCACTTTTCTGAATCTGCAGTCTACAACACAAACCATGCTGACCACAGTCGAAATGAAATCTGCAGTTCACAGTGTCGTGCCATGCACTCAGCTCAGTAGAGGGGTGACAGAACTACGTTCTTCCAGTCTACATATGCAGGAAAATGCAACCATAAACTATTGTCAGAAGCAAAAACTTGCAGCGATTAATAAACAGTAAACCTGACTCTCCACCGCATTGACTGGAAGTCCGTTTTAAGTTTTCTTTAAAGTAAAAGTAAATGATTTATACCCAAGTTTTTCATGTGACTTCCTCTGACCATAAGCCTTCTGAACTCTCAACTACCTTCTCTCTTGGTCTCTTCCTATCTATTGTCAACCATGATAAAAGCGCACTAAGCAAGGGCGCACATCAACTGGCCTTTCTTTGCAAGCTTAGACATTTCTACAGGATCCTGTCTTAATTCGGCCTTTCCTTCCTCCCAGGTTACCTTATTTTGTATAGCTTTTATGTATTTCTGTTGGCGTCTGTAGCTTAGGCATTGTGAACATGCTTCATAATGCCAGGGTGTTGGGTTCAATCCCAGCTGGGGGGGGGGGGGGGGGGGATGTCTTGCGCTGGTTTGGACAGTTGTACCCAGAGCTGACCGTTCAGAGGACAATGGCAAACTTGTGAATGTAAAATTTGCCTAGAAAAACCACCAGAGACAAAAATTGCTGGGGCTGGTTTTGCAACGTCCTGTAAAGCATACACAACTAACATTTAAGTATTACTAACACTGTCCCTTTTTTGGTATGCTGATAAAGGCTCTCCATCCAAAATGTTCATTTTGTCACACCTCTTCTTCTTCTTCTTAGTCTTCACTGACTGTGAACTCTGGCGGAAAGTTACGGTTGTTTATCCACTTCTGACCTTTGGTCTTGTTTCAGAATTTGAGTTTTGCATGCACATCCTTTTCTGCTGATCTGGTAGAATTGTATGCAGACTATTGGTTCCTTGCCTCCCATCTAGATGCACTCTGACTTTACACCCTTAATTAGTTGCCGCCTATAGCATGCTTGTTTAGAGCCAGTGGGGCTATTCTTTTTCCTTGAAAATGAGACCCTGGAATTGAAACAACATATTTTGTCATTCATGATTATGGTTTATTTGTAAGCTGAATAGTTCTGCAGCTTGTTTGGATTGATTTTTCATAGTTTAAGAGATACTGTGGCACAGGTGAATAACTCATTCTAAAAATTGTTAATTTGTTTCGGGCACTGTAACATAGACTTATGATACTTTTTAATCTCTGCTGGTCAAAGCTATCTCCTTCGGCGTTTGCCCTTGAAAGAGCGGTTCGCACGCTGTTTTGTTTTGTGATTTACAGCTAGGCTGCGACATCTGCACCTTTTAGCAAACCCTAATTAATTGCTTTTTTGTGTGTGTGGTATGCTCATTAGGGCACAGATTTTCTCCCCAAATAGTGTCCGAGAACCCAAGCGAAGAATTATCCTTCTAATTCTACTGAAGTTTCCACTGCTGTATATCACAGAGCCATGGCATTCAATGTTCATGATGCAAATGTCTAAGCCACTCTTATTTATTCAATGTGCTTATAAATGTTTAGGCACTGCGAGTCCGACACATAATTCCAATGTACCACAATCAAAACCCACTACTGGCTTTGTGGATTTTTATCGTGGTATGGGGCATCGCAGGTCGACCCAGCCTAAACTGGGTACCAGGATGGATGTCCTGGGGAAGTAAAGACGGCTGGCGTAATGCTGACCACATTACCCACCTAGTGCCAATTGGTCAGTAAAAATATGGGGTGTTCTTCCCATATGCCCGATACGCCTAAGGCATGAAAAGGGATCTATACATTTTGTACTTTACCTACAAATGATACATTTCAACACTGTTGGCTGTAACTTTTAGCTGACATGCAGTTTTATTTTTTAGGGTTCTTATTTTCTGGCTGAGTGCCTATGCTGCACTGAAGGATAAAAGACTGAAGGAGAAAAATAGTTAAATGCAGGCATTCAATCGCACACAATGATCAAGAAAATCCTAGCTGACCTGATGCACTTTGTGGGTACATCTAAGAGTCATCAACTTACTTTAAAACATTTGGGGGCATCATCTGACCCTCTGGAGCTGCTTCAATCACTGACTGCCAGGTATTTGTTGAGCCAGGAATCACAAAGCCAAACTCAAAGACCCATTCTGTGCAAATAAAAAGACAGGACATATTTGTTGCTGTATATACAGGAAATATGTTAAAGTGAAGGACCCTTTTTCATGCCTTCAGGCATATGAGACGAGACCTATATTTTATAGACAAATCCGAGCTTGGCGGCTGATGTGGTCAGTATCGCACCAGCTGCCTTTACTTGTTACTATGAAGGCATAGAAAAATCCTACTGGATATACAAAGCCAATCCTCATGTATATAAGTGAATCACAGACAGTTAGCAGATTAGATAAACAATTATGTAGAAACTGAGGAGATGTTTTAAAACCTTCAAAACCAAACTGATTTCCTCACATTAGAAGAGGACAATCCACATTGTTTGAGAACATCATGAGAAGGGGTAAAACTAGACTATAAAACTGGCAGTACATGAGACAGAAAGTTTGTGGACAGACAGGTTCAGCAAAAAGGCTTGACATGGACTATAAGAATAATTATGATCAGTTAACTTCTAAGCTTCGTTTCCCAACTATAATCAAGTACTTGATACATGGGGAATGACTAAAACAATTACTAATAAAGTACAAATATTTATTAACTGATGCATGTGTTGAATACAGGGAATTAAATGGTATGATCAGTTCATTAATGTAGATCTTTGGGAGAGATATTTAAACAAATTCCAGTAACTCAAGAGGTGAAGAACACACTGAGAAAACCTGAGAACAATAACCCTTTTTGAGTCCAAGGGGGTTTATCATCACAGGCCCAGGCGGTAGTAAACAGAGTCATAAAACCGGCGCATCCTGCGTTCATTGAGCTTCTATGTAGAAACCTATGAATGTATGATGCATTCATTGGGACTCAAAGAGATATATTAGAATGTCTTTCACTGGAATGCTCAGGGGTACAGAAATAGAGGCCAACCAGAAGACACATGGAGAAGGGAGCTAGAGTTAAGCTGATTCAAGAACCGACATCACAGCACTCAGGGCATTCCCATAAGCGCCCTATCCCCATCTTCAGCAGCCAGTGCAGAGTTCGGATACTAATGGTGCCAGTAGCATTCTGATTAAACATCCGTCTTGCCTTTCCTCTGAGCCTCGAGCATTTGCCAGAACCCCTCATCATTCACCGCTGCATCAGACTGTGGTGATCCATCTGCTCCTCCAAACTGTACATGCTCCCTCACAAGGCACTAACCACATCTGCCTTATCATGCATCAGTATTCCACCAAGTTGTGCAGAGCCAGCCAGTCTGTCTGCCTGTTCATTTCCCAACACACCGGCGTGCCCTGGTGAAAAAATCCAGACAATACTCCTTACCCACGTCCTCCGCAGTGAGGAGCTGGAGAGTGAAGTTAACAAGACAGAGAGGACATTGGGGTAGCTACATGCAACAGGGAAAGATGCAACGACTTGGAGTAAAGGCCAATGCTACAAGGAGAAAATTGTATATAGTCCATGTCAACAATCTCGACCTCACCCTCTAAACATTTTCCTTTAAATAAAACACGCTGCTCAAGTCGGAACTTGTCCATTGGCTCTTTTGATGAGAAGTTGATTTCCCTAGATACAGCTCTACACTTTAAAATTCTTTTTGGAACTCTTGCTGTGGAGGAAAGCAGAGAAATGTAAGCCATTTTTCTATATTTGAATTAAATATATGTAGATTTATGTATATATATATACCTCAGTATCTACACCTTATCATATGCCTCAGCATCTACATCATGTCATATACCGCAGTATCTACATCTTCCCACCTTCCCCATTATCTACACTTTGTCAAATACCCCAGCATCTACACCTTCCCACCTTCCCCAGTATCTACACCTTGTCAAATATCTCAGTATCTACACCTTCCCCAGTATATACACCTTGTCAAATACCTCTGTATCTACACCTTCCCACCTTCCCCAGTATCTACACCTTGTCATATACCTCAGTATCCACACCTTTCCATTTTATCCAGTATCTAGAACTTGTCATATACCTCAGTATCTACACCTTTCCACCTTCACCAGTATCTACACAATGTCATATACCTCAGTATCTACACCTTTCCACCTTCCCCGGTATCCACACCTTCCCACTTCACCAGTATCTACACCTTTCTACTTTTCCTAGTATCTACATCTTTCTACTTTTCTCAGTATCTAACCCTTGTCATATACCTCAGTTTTATATATCTTCACTCTCACTCCAATATCAACATCTTTCTTTTCACTTCTGTATCTTTATCTTCTCTGTTACCTCTGTACCTACATCTTTCCTCATATCTCAGTTACCTACATCTCATTTCATACACCAGTATCTACACTTACTTTTCAACTCTTAATTCGGTAATCCACACCTTCTCTTTACCACATTATGTATACCTTTTCTCTTACCTCAGTATTTATACCTTTCATGTTATCTCTGTATATGCATAGTCCTTATAAACTCAGTATCTAGTTCTTTCCTTTTACTCCACTATACACATCTTCCCTTTTAATCCAGTGTCTACATCTTCCCTCTTACTCCACTACCTACATCTTGTCTTTTACCACAGTATTTACACATTCCCCATTACCTCAGTATGTACACATTCTCCCTTATATCAGTATCTACACATTCCCCATTACTTCAGTATTAGCACATTCCCCATTAATTCAGTACCTCCATATTCCCCATTACCTCAGTATGAACATGTCCCCCACTACCTCAGTATTTATACATTCCCATAATCTCATTATCTACACATTCCCCATTCTCTCAATATCTACATATTCCCTGTTACCCCAATATCTACCTATTCCCCATTACCTCAGTGTGTACATATTCCCCATTATCACAGTATCTACACATTCCCCATTATCACAGTATCTACACAATCCCCATTATCTCAGGGTCTACACATTCCCCATTACCTCCGTACACACATCTTCACTCATATTTCAGTTGTGCACATCTTCCCTCTTACCTCACTATTTCTTTCAATTCAATAAAATATATAGCTAGGACACCTGTGACATTAAGCACACCTGCCTCTGACCTCATGTACATCACAAATACTTGTCTACCTTGAAGAATCATCCTCACCTTCATGTTCTTTCTCAGGTGCTGACCTGCCGAGAAGTAAAACAAGAATGCTGCAATAAAATATTATAAGGAAGCCAAAATTTCAACTCAATAAGAAACAGATAGAAAAACAAGAACCCAGATATTTTTCTTTGTACTGAAAGAAATGTTGGTGTTTTTTAATTAAGGGTTATGAATTCAGTTTTATAATTCCAACATATGAGGGTCAGTTCAACTGCAGTTGATTTAACAGAATCTAAGCTGTTTTAACCGGGGCTTTTTTCTGGCGGTACCCAACCCTATGCAGTACTGGCACTTTTCTTTAGGTATAAGTTTTTTTAACGCTGTATAGTAGACAGTTTGTGGTGCATACCGACACCTGTTTTACAGTCTTTGTTGTGAGTACTGGGCAACTTTTCTATTAGGAAAAAACCTGCTTTTAACAATAATATAAGCACAGGCTGTTGAGGAGTGCAGCGGCAAACTACTGAACTTGAGACTGCCTCGTAAAACTACAAATAGCCAACAAGAGTTGGTTTGCGACAACCTGTAGGGGATTCTCCATGTACTATATGGGGTGCTATAAAAATATCCTACCCCAAAGGGGTAGGTCACAAGTCACAAGACAGTCTAATATTTCAGAGGGTGGTTGATAGGCTGCATGCAGTCGTGGGACCTAGGCTGCACTCTCTCGTGGGACGTAGGTGGGTTGGGTTAGGGCAGTTCTAGATGTTTTGGGGTCATTAAAAGCATCAGAAAGAGGAAAAACCCAGTCTTACCACCTTTTTAAATGTTGGACTGTCCTGTGACGTCAGCTGGAGTAGGATATTAATAAAGAACCCTATGTGTAACTAACTACCATATTTTCCATGTATAAGATGATATGTTTTCCCTAATTTTGTTTCATTTTCAGCTGGAGGTTGTCTTATATACTGAATATGTTTTAAATAGGTCGTCTTATACGTGAAGGTCATCTTATACGTGTGAGTCATCTTATACATGGAGAAAAAATATATGACTTGAGGGGGAAAAGACTATAAAAAGTAAAGGCACATTTCACACTCTAGGAGACTTATTATTATATTAAACCAGATATTAAACAGCGTCTGTAGCTTAGAAGTTGTGAACAGTTTCACATTCCCGACTAACATAGATGATCTGATAGCTAAGTAAAAAGTAAAGTAAAGGACCCTGTTCCACATTTTCAGGCATACTGGGCATATAGGGCTAGACCTAAAATTTACAGCTGATTTAAGGCTGGGTGGACCTGGGGCCACAGTCATTTTTTTTTTAAATCTAGCTTTGTAAGAACCAGAACCTATGACTTTCCGATCTGCAGAAAAGCATCTAGCCACACCTTTGATAGCTGAGTGTGTTGCATTAATTTTAACAACTTATCAACTCTGTACTACTCAAAAATCTGCTGCAAATTACACAATGTGAAACTGTCTAGTCAAAGAAGTCTTGCTTCCTCTTTGTGTTTGCCAGCTGTAAACTCTAGCAGAAAGTTGTGGTTGTTTATCCATTCCTGGACTTTAGTCTTGTCCCAGAACCTGAGTTTAGCAAGTAGATCTGTTTCACAGATATGGCTTATCTTTAGGCAGACTTGGCTTTTCACCTCTCAGGCAGACGCACTCCGACTTCGAGGAAACATCCCTAATTAGTCGACTCTTATAACATTCTTTACAGGGGGCAGTGGGTCCATTCTTTTTCCGGCCCCCCAAAAAAGCCCTGGAACCCACTCAGTGAAAATCTAGTTTAAAATGAACGTATATGAGAGAGACAGCTTTCATAAAACACATATCACAAGCAAAGGCAGTACTTACAAATCATCACTGGACTGCCACCAAACCTTGCCACTGTCAGCATCTCGGAGATTCATCCAGTTACTTGTGGAAGGTTAGAGGGAAACAACTGTCAGCTTCTGTATTACCCCGCCCGCCTCCTTTCCCCACATGTCAGGTCTGTACCCTGGCTCTTTGTGAGTACACCCTAACAACTAAATGTCAGTCCACTCTAGTTGCACCCTGGCATTCTCTAACTGTACACCTTGACAGCTACTGATTAGCTTCTTCTTCTTCTTCTGCTCTTTATCACCCAATGGAGCATAGGCCCCCAACAAACTCAGGCCAAGTCGTCCTGTCCTTTGCTACTGCATGCAGCTCACCCTATGTCCTCTCCATCTTGTTAACTTCGATCTCTAGTTCCCTTCTTCCTGTGTTTTTTGCTCTGCCTTTATTTCTATGCCCCAGTGGGTTCCAGTGCAAAGACATTCTGGTTGTCTTGTTCTCAGTGTGTATCTTATCCAGCACCAGTGTCTTATCTTTCCCTCTTGATTCACTTGAATTTGTTAAGTTCTCTCCCAAAGCTCAATATTAGTGATAATATAATACTGTTTAACTGTTCATTTCCCTCTGTAGTTCCCTTCTCCATGTGTGTGTACTATTGATTTTTTTTTTCTATATTTCTATATTCCTGTGGGCTTCATTGCAAAGACATTCTAGTTATATTGTTCTCATTTTTTCTCAATGTCTGTCCTATCCAACGCCAGTCTTTTCTCCTCCTCTCAAGTCACTGGAATTTCTTTAGTTCTCTCCCAGAGCTCAATATTAGTGATTATACGATACCATGAATTCCCTCTATTCCACACAGATACCAGTCAATAAATGTTTGTAGTTTATTAGCAATGCTGCACCCTGACTTTTGTGGCTACATACTAACAGCTGGTGGTCAGTCTGGCTCTCTGCGTACACCCAAAAATGGCCGCAGTCTGACAATAGCACTACTCAGAGTAAGAGAATTCCCCCTCGCACCACTGGTGCATTGGGTCCATGTTGCTAGACACATATTTTTTTTACACAAATCAAACTCCAAAGATAATCACAATCAACATCATGCCTTCTACCCATGGTCGGATTTAGACTTGATAAAGACCTTATTTAAATAAAGCCCTGAGACCCTACTATTCTCAATTACACAGTGTTTCTGTGTTGGTTCCGGGGCCCTATTGTGGGGAAACCAAGAATAGACCCACTGCCTACCCAAAAGCATGTCGTAAGAGTCAACTAATTGGGAGCTTATTTCAAAGTTGGAGTGCATTGGTTTAAGAGGCAAGGAACCAGCAGTCTGCACACAAATGAGTCAGATCTGTAAAACGGATGCACATGCAACACTCAGGTTCTGGAACAGGACTGCAGTCCAGAAGTGGATGAACAACCAGAACTTTCTGCCAGAGTTTACAGCTGGTAAATACAAAAAAAGAAGAAGAAGAATAGATAAAGTTTTTATGTGGAGTATGTGGCAGAGACAACCACTCCCACACTGGACATTGGTCATAGCAGACCCTGCTGCCAAAACCAGCAGAACAATTCCATGGTACCTAGGGACTCGTGGTTGCCTTATTTGCCCTACACATATCAAGGAGACAGGAATTTCTTAACTTACTAGCCGCGGATCAGAAGGTCGTGGGTTGGCTCCCTGGCGGAGCCTGACTTTCCTCACAAATGACCTTGGCTCCCAGGTCGACCCAGCCTTGAGTGGGTACCGGGTGCAGTTTCGGGAAGTAAAGGCAGCCGGCGTTATGCTGACCACATCACCCATCTTGAGCCAACTGGTCTATAAAATATAGGTCTAGCCCTATATGCCCTATACACCTAAAGGAGAAGGGTCCTTTACTTTTCTTTTTTATATAATTTTTTAACTCCTGCGTTTTCTTTTGTTGTTTTTTTAAACTGCTCACAATCATTCAGTCAGGTGCCATCTTGACAAGGAAGGTTGTTACTAATACTGATGGATTTCCAACAGGCAGTTTCTTGATTTGATTCTATACTATCTCAGACTGTTGTTTGTCTATCTTCTTATTTTGTCCTTTCATTTATCTCTTTGTCTTCCTCTTGCTCTCTTGCCTTTTGAATATATATTGAAGGTTCAATTAGAAAACAACATCACAGCACTCAGGACACTCCCATAAGTGCTCTGTCCCTATCTTCAGCAGCAAGCGAACAGTTCAAATTCTGATGGTATCAGTAATTGTCCGATTGTATATCTGTCTCATCCTTCCCCTGAGTGTTGAGCATTGGCCACATCCCCTGGTAACTCCTCGAAGTGCCATTCTCCTCAGACTGTAATGATCTATCTGAGCATCTACACTGTTCACTCATTCCTAAAGAGCCCTCACAATATCTAGCTTGTCATATATCAATTCACCAGCAAGGGCTGCAAAGCCAGCCAGTCTATCTGCCTGCTAATTTCCCAACACACTGGCACAACTTCGATAAAATATTCAAAGGATGCTAACTACCCAGGACCTCTGTAGTGATGCTTTCCACTCTCCACGAAGTATGCCTGTCTTCATCTTTCTCAACATGCTCTGTGAGTCAGTTACAATAACAGCATGAGTGTACAGCTGATTCTCAAGCCAGCGGAAGGCAGCAGAGACTGCCTCCACCTCCATTCTCAAAATAGACGTTTTGATATCATATGCAAGGCGTTGCTGCGCTAAACGACTTCCATTCTTCTACTTTGCTATGAACTCCCATGCATTTCGTTTGCCCCTAAACACAAAGCCATCTGTATAGAAGATAATCACATTCTTTTATTAGAAGGCAAAAGACTTATTAGTCTCTTGCCTCTGATGTTGCCTAAATACTGTAACTGTTTTATTTTTAAATTCTTTCAGCAACTTTCTTGTCATTCACAGTCTCTTCAAAACCTCTGTCTAAAAAAAAAAGCTCTTTATCATTTATCATTTAACGATTGCATAAGATAACTTTTATATCATTAAACTTCTATATTTTTTATATTATTTAACATTTATATCACTTAAAATCTTTGTAGACTAGGACTAGGAGGATACAACAAAGCCGAAGTATTTGTTTGGATACACAAAATTACACAAATGAATGCTCCTTTTGAGTCCTTAGTGAACGGCGTCCGTAACAACCATCTAAAAAGGATACAGTTTGAACCCTTTCATTATATCTTCTGGCTTTGAAGGCATGATAAGCAACAGTATCGCAATTTAGACTCCTTTCTGTAGGAGTTTAACCACAAACACAAGCCGGAGATAACAGAAACGACACGATAATACTAATAGTAATAGACCACTTAACTTCGCAAATTTTGTCGACCTTACAAAATGGTGTTCTGTAAACTTCCGGTCAGCATCATCATCATCAAACTGCTGCTTGATAAGGCTTTCAAATTGGGTTTGCAATAAAGATTGGTACAGCTGTGCTCAGGAACTAAGGAATTTGTGGTGTGGGGGTGGGTGGGGGACTTAGTCCTATTGAACACCCCACCCCTTTTTTTTCTCCCTAAGATTGGTTTGTTCAAAGTCTCAATTACAGATCTGGGCCCTCACAGGTCTGCGCAGGCGCTCCGATGCAGAGAAAAACAATAGCGGACGGGTGCTCACTCCAGCCAAACATATTTTCTAGGCAAAATACAGTGGCTCAAATGGCCTAGTTCAAGACCGTAATAATAATAATATAAATAATATAAATAATAATATTTCGGAGATAACATAAAAATTATAGAGAATTCCTATACATGGTTAAAGAGGACTAAACTCCTTACTAAGCGTTCGGTTCCCGTTTTAGAAAAAGAAAATTTGGGCATGGAGTATAAAGAAACCTAGACAAGGCCGGATTAATACTAAACCCTTTGATGCCCTGAGCATTTAAAAGATTTTGGTTCAAAATCGTTGAGATTAATTATGGAAATTGTTCAGATTGCACACAACAATACCTTAGAGTTCAACTAATCAGTCGACGGTATGTTTTTAGGCGTATGGATTTCTCGTTAATTAATAAAAACGCGCTGTCTGATATCTAGGCGATGCTTACTTCTTCTTCTTCTTCTTAACATTGACCAGCTATAGAGTCCAGCGGACAGTTCTGGTTGCTCGTCCACTTCTGGAAGTTTGTCTTCCTTCAAAACTTGAGTTTTGCAAGCACATCCGTTTTACAAATCTGGCTTATTTGTGTGCAGACTGTTTCTTGCTTACATTTCATTCAGATACACTCCAGCTTTAAAGAAAAAAGCCATAATTAGTTATCTTGTTCGAAAGCCTGTCCACCCCCCCCCCCCCCCCCCCCCCCCCCCCCCCCCCCCCCCCCCCAAGTTGCCTTTAAATTGTTTGCTCACATTCTAAGATTCACTGCCATACAACAGAGCAGGCTCGTTGTAACAATTCAGTACTCGTTTTCTGATGTTTAATGAGAGTGGTTTATTACATAAGATACTTTTCATCGTCTGAAGTGTTTTCTTGACCTTCTTCAGTACAGAGATTGGAGACGGTCATTGTTATACAGATACAGCGGTAACAGATCCAGAGGTCGACCACGCTGAATATGGACCACAGAAATATCGGAGACAATGAAAAGTACAACGAGGCGAACAGAAGCGCCCGTTCCGGATATCTCTTTCTGTCCTGACGCTGTTAGACATTCCCCAGGAGTAGAGAACAGAAGCGCCCGTTCCGGATATCTCTTTCTGTCCTGACGCTGTTAAACATTCCCCAGGAGTAGAGAACAGAAGCGCCCGTTCCGGATATCTCTTTCTGTCCTGACGCTGTTAGACATTCCCCAGGAGTAGAGAACAGAAGACGATATATATATATATATATATATATATATATATATATATATATATATATATATATATATATATATATATATATATATATATCAACACATTGTTTGTTTATTGTAGATACACAAATCCTAGCGCGGCGTCCGTGGCTTAGGCGTTGCGAGTCCGACTGGTAATTCCAACGTACCAGGATCGAAACCCACTGCTGGCTGGGTGGATTTTTATCATGGTATGGGGCGTTGCAGGTCAACCCAGCCTAAAATGGGTATCAGGAGGTATGTCCTGGGGAAGTAAAGACGGCCGGCGTAGTGCTCATCACATTACCCACCTAGTGCCGACTGGTCTGTAAAAATATGGGTGCTCTTCCCATATGCCAGATGTGTCTAAAGGCGTGAAAAGAGATCTTTACTTGCATATATACTAGCACCGAAACCCACGGGGCAGGAGAATTAGAGGTGGGGAAGGGGGAAGAAGCGGATTAGAGACTTAGATGAACAGGATGGCGAGGGTATGAAGTGAGCTGCATAAAAAGTTAGGACATCAAGGCGGAATTGATTGACGATGTATGCTCCATTCAGAGCTTTAGGAAAGAAGAAGCCGACCAACCTGACACGCGGAGATGGTACTTGATTATAATGATGATGATAAACACGCTACCCAATTTCCGTCTATGACGTCTTTGGACGAGTAGAAAACTATTACTGGAAAAATGTGACGATGACAAAACCGAGCATATCTGTGATGGCGGGTAAATTATTATAAACTACAGCAGGACAACACAGTCGAACCAACAGACCCTTCTATATCCCAAATCTCTTCAACAAATTCCAGGCTTAATGTTTCAAGGCTGAAGTATACACATCAAGACAAGGTAAATCCGGTATATTAGATGACACCAGAGGGAGCTGGAGAGAGCAGTCATTTCTGTGTTTAGAAAATGTTTCTGTTGTCACTTTATAGAAGTCGCAACAAGTGAATGTATCTGTGGTATTGGTAACAAGAAGACTCAGTGTTCATTGTAAGAGTGTTTTACATAGGAACAAAGCAGAGAATTATTCTTGATATAGAACAGTGGTTCTCAACCTTCCTAATGCCGCAACCCTTTAATACAGGTCCTCGTCGTGTTGTGGTGTTGCAAATATGCAGCCTAACCGACATCATACCTGGTGCAGAATGGATACCTGTGCCTCAGGCGTTTATTTGTACATTTTCCTGTATTGTCACACTCAACAAGCGATGTAGAGAAGAGAATCCTGTTGCTGTTAATGCAGAGGTCAACGCTCTCATCGGTGAAAATTCAGACGAAGCAGATGCAATAATCTATACAGACGGATCCGTTATACGCCAAAGAAGAAGCGCATGGGCATTTACAGCACGCTCAGCGGGCAGAACAGTCAAAGAAGCCAACGGCGCCTTCTCCATGACAACCAGCAGCATGACGATGGAGGTGATGGCAGTGACACAAGCGCTTGCCTGGCTTGAAACACAAAAATACACCCGCGTGTGTATACTCAGTGATTCAATGAGTATGATCCGAAGGGTTCAGGCAGGTTCAGTGCGAAGACAATGGCTTGAATCATTACAGAAGTCCACTGTTCGTGGAGTCACCTTTATTTTTGTTCCGGGAGACGCAGGCGTCGATGGAAATGAAAGAGCTGACAAGTTGGCTGGATCCGCTATCACTACCGACGGTCAGCCTATGGATCACGCTGATATTATCAATGCCCTCAGAGAAATGGGAAGGATAGAGGACTTTGGTGGCAGTGAATCACCACATCACTCGCCAGAATGGCAGACTTGGGAATTAAGATCGGCACAGCAAAATACGAGACGCACACCAGCTACGCCAGAAGACTTGTTAATCAACATAGAACTGGTACTTTTAGCCATCGGACGTTGGGGTTCATACTGAGGGGAGAATCTGAGCACCTATGGACATGTCCGGAGTGCAATGAGGATAACCCAACTAACTAACTAACTAACTAACTAACTAACTAACTAACTAACTAGTTGTGGTGACCCTCAAACATAAAATTATTCTGCATGTTACTTCATAAATTCAATAAATATGTATTTTCCAATGGTCTTAGTTGATCCCCTGTGAAAGGCTCGTTCGACCCACAAAAGGGTCACAGATGATCTAGAGTTTTCTTTGAAGTACACTATGGTCTGATTCATGAAGTGGATTGAGGAGTTGTGTTTTAAGAAAGAGACTTCAGTACAATACAAATCAAATACCTCCACCAACTCTCCAAGCCTTGAATGTGAGCAGGTACACTGTCAAAGCCAACTGTTACAAGATAAGGCACTTTCGACATGGCATCTTCTTATTCTTCTTTTCTTTTTGTTATCTCTTACAGTGGTTTTTAGATGAGAAGACCACCGATTTTTATGACCTATACATCTTTGTTTTCTCCGGAATGTCAGCTGGCCAGACCTGGGTGGATTTGGGACATTCCTACTGCATGCAAAGAGCAGATTGAAGCATCTGTTCAGTATTTTATGGTGCCCGTCCACATGGACAAAGTTCTGAGTCCACAATCGTGAATGTTTAATACACACGGCTGCGGAGTCCATTGTGTCCAGTTCGCCATCTAAAAACAATGGTATGCTTCTTTCTTTTGATGATGCTGACTGGGACTTCGAGATTGTATCTGGGTATAAAGTGTTCTAACAGGTTTTAATAGCCGCTTTGATGTGGGTTTTATTTTCCTTACAAGTAAATCCTGTATTGAATTGTTCTGTATTACTTCCAATTGTTGCTAAGTACAGTGAAGTTTGCTATTCAATTTTCCGTAATTCTGGAGTGCCATTTGATCCACTGGAGCAGTTTGCTTAGATAGCTGTCCCATTTGAGAACTGAGCAAAAGATGCTTTATCGCCGCTATCTCATCATGTGAGGTACGTGATTTCAGACTGGCTGTTCAGAAACCGACGTTCTGTTCGGAAACCGAGATGTTTTGTTTTGCTTCAAAACCTTCTTTTTTTTTTCAGGAACGACTTGTTCCGGAAAGGAGGCGTTTTAAAACGAAGGTGAACTGTATATTCTTAAGTAAAGCAAATAAAGGTTCATTTTCGGGCCACAGTTGCAGCAGGCAAATGATACATGGCCAATATTTGTATATCTCAGTCAGCACTGGATGAGTCACGCAGCCAACACCACAACGGCCACCTTTACTTCCTAGTATATTTATTTACTCGTACCAATTTTAAACTGGGAAAGCCTAAGAATCTAAGTCAGTATATGGGGCGTTTGTAAAGTCTACGACAGTTTGTATGTAGAACAATTGTGAAAACGAAGTACATGACGTTATAAACAAATGTGCTCCATGGTCAATCAAAGCAATATGCAGCTAATGGTTGTCGTCTGCTTGGAGTAATTCGTTGCAATCAAAACATTATGGT